TGTGAGAGAGAGAGAGAGAGAGTGTGTGAGTGTGTGTGTGTGTCACCTTGTTAATAAGCGTCATCACATAGACCAGCAGCTCTGTGTCCACACCGTCCTTCTCTGCTAAAATCTCCATAGCGTTTGACCACTGCTTACAGCCTGACCATCACACACACACACACACACACACATGATAATGCAAATCATTCAAAACTCACGACTGAGCAAACAAATAAGCATTTAGTGCTGGTTTAATTATTTATTATTTGTTTATTAATTATTTAAAGAATTCGTGGATAATTCTTTACATAACATCATAATATCAGCTAAAAGAAATAAGATAAGGAATTATTGCATTGTGACATTATTTCATAGACCATTAAACATTTTCTCCCATCACTGTTACTAAATTAATTTATTATTAAATTTTTATGGTAAATGTTTGTAATTATATCATATTACATAACATTATATTATAATTATTAATTATTTAATTTAGAATTATAAATTCCTTACTTTTAATAATTATTAATAACTCTTAATTATATATGATTTGTTTATTATTTAAAGAATTCATGCATAATTCTTTAAATAACATGTGATATGGATCAGAAACAGTTCCATCGAACCAATCAGAGCTATAATTCATACCAAAATCATAAGAAATACATGACAAATTATATTTTGCATAAGGAATTATTGCATTGTTACATTATTTCAAAGACAATTAAAAATTCACCCCCAAGTCCTCATAATGTACTGCAAAAAGATAAATTAATTATTTATTATTTAATTTTTACATATTCATTATATTTATTTATATTATATTATTTATAGAATTAATTATAATTTATAACGATAAATTAATAACATTTTCATAGTTATTTATAAATTGTTTATTTATTATTTAAAAAAATTAATGCATCATAGTAGTATTTAGTGTTTGGTGTTTTAATGATTTTTCATTGTTTATTTATAATTTTAAAAAATCATGCATCATGGTAGTATTTGGTGTGGCTTTAGAATAATTAATAATTATTAATCATAAGCAATTATTAGTTTATAATCAAAAATATAAGTATAATTAATTATTATTTTAGCTTTAATTATTTATTAATTGTGCATTTATTATTTTAAATTCATTCATCGTGGTAGTATTAGGTTTGGCTTTCAATTTATGCTAATTTAAATGAAAAATAATTGTATTATTTATGTTAGTACCTCTCTTAGTGTCCACAGTGTCGATGGCCTCGATGAGCAGCGGTGCGTTGGACTCTGAATACTCAACAAACACCAGCAGCAGCTTCAGAGAGGTTTTGACCACCAGACGAAACTGAACACACACACACACACACACACACTCACACAGATCAGATCTCACTCAACATGATCTACATCACATACACTGATCAAACGGTGCGTCACCTTTGAGCCGGTGAGCAGGTAGAGCCACTGGATGGTCTCGGTGTGACCTATGACCCCGTTCATCCCGTCCACATACAGCATGATCTGACCCAGAGCTGCAGATAGAAACACAAGGGACTGAGCACTCATTAACATAAAACTGATGATTCTGAAAGTGGGTGGGGCTTAGCAGCCTGGATGCTGGCTCTGATTGGTCAGATACAACAGAGCTAATAATAATACTCAGGGTTATTCTGACACTCTACTGTAACTCTTCAGCATGTTTTTATTCTAATGATGAATAAGTCACTGTCATGTGACACGTTACTTTTGTCAGCGCTGCTCATGATGGACCAATCACAGGCAACTGTAATCACTGGAAGAAGGATTTTTAAAAATCATTTTATTGAGATTGCAGAGGTCAAATATTTTGCATCTCAGGTACAAAATACTTTTTCATTTATATATATATAAACGATTATTAATTGTTTATTTATTATATATATATAAAAACCATGCCTGGTGTTAGTATTTGGCACAGCTTTAAAATTATTATTAGTTAATAATGATTAATTATAAGGAATTATTATTTCATAATCATAAAGTATAATTATTTTTTTTGTTTTAATTATTTATTGTTACTGTAGTTAATGCATCATGGTACTATTTAGTGTGATTTGAAATTATTGATAATTATCAATTATTAAAAAAGTATTAATTTATAATTATTTTGTAGTTTAAATTGTTTATTAATTGTGTATTTATCATTAAATCCATGCATCATGGTAGCATTTGGTGTGGCTTTAAAATAACTAATAATTAATAATGATTAATTATTAGTGATTATTCATTTATAGACATAAATTAAGTATAATTAATTCATTTTTTGATTTCATTATTTATTAGTTGTGTATTTATTATTTAAAAATCACGCAGCATGGTAGAATTTGGTGTTGCTTTTAAATGATTATTAATTAATCATAAATTAAGTATAATTAATTCATTTTTTAGCATTAATTATTTGTTAATTGTGCATTTATTATTTTATATATATATATATATATATATATATATAAATAATGGTAGTATTTGGTGTGGCTTTAAATTATTGCTAATTTGAATAACAAATAATTTTCTATTATAGTAATTTTTTATACAGTATTCTAACCATTGTTATTATCATTTTAAAATAATTACAAAATACAGAAATACATATTCGAAGAATTCAGATGAATCACTGGAATGATACTGAATTTTTTGGCATTATAGTGAATTTAGGGAGAAAAAAATAGACTTAAAACTTTTACAGAAGCACCACATTAGGGTATCATGAAGAAACAGTTATAAAACAACATTAAAGACAGTTCATTACAATAAAGTGTATTAAAAAAACAGCAAGGAATTCTATAGTAATAACAATGGCAACCAAAAGGTGGCGCTGTTCTCCCTCATATGGTGATGAAAATGCATGAAAAGTCTACAACAGAAAATCATGACCTATAATACATGAAATATTTAAAATGTTCCTGAAACTTTCAGAAGTCTGAGGATGCAAACGAACCTCTGAGGATGTAGTTCTGATAGTTCTGATCCGCTTCAGCGCCGACCTTGATCAAACACGTCAGACCTTCAGCCATAACGAACTCATGAACCAGATCCTTATCGTCCTACACACACACACACACACACACACACACATCAGATGGACTCAACTTTGATGATATTATTGGTTAACATTACAATTATCTATTAAAGGGGTCCTATTATGCTTTTTCACTTTTTCAACTTTAGTTAGTCTGTAATGTTGCTGTTTGAGCATAAAAAAGATCTGCAAAGTTACAAAGCTCAAAGTCCACTTCAAAAGGAGATATTTTATTTAACAGAAATCACTTTTCAAAAACTACAACGAACGACTCGTTTGAACTACAACGCATATTTTCCGGGATTTGTGATATCACAAATACCGACGTTTGGGACGAGACCTGGTTGAGCTGCACTAGAGAAGGCAACGAGTGTTATCAATAAGACGGAGACATGCTAGCTTTCCCAAGGCAGACGAACTTAGAGTGGTTACAATCATGCAGGTTTAAATCGTTCTCAAATTGATTTGATTTTGAGCAATATTTGCACTGAAGCTCACAGGCGGCTATAGTAAGGGGCGTGACATTTCCCGACCAGGCGCTGAGTGCTGCCAATCACAACACACACTGGCCCAGCTAACCAATCACAGCACACACTGGCCCAGCTAACCAATCACAGCACATTTCGTATTTCAGAAGGCGGGCCTTCATTTGATACAGGAACTACTTGAGCCGTTCATGCCAGACTGGGGAGAGAGGTGTTGTAATAATTAAAAATACGTGAAAAATAATGTGTTTTTCGAACAACCTAGTATGAGAGCCTGTTCTAGTACACCCCCAAAACAAAATCAAGACTTTGTAAAAGAGCATAATAGGACCCCTTTAACTATTATCAGCTAATCGTCACCGTCAGATTTATATAAAAACAAATTATTTGTACGGTTAGCAGTGAAACAGCAAAGCTTATAGTGAACAAACTAAAACCAAAAAATGGGTGAAACGGAGCTTTTCGAAACTCCGAATCAATTAAACCACTGAGTTGCAAAATGATTCACTGTTTCAAAGCGCTCCAATCGGATCGCGAATAATTTGATTCAGATCGGGACTTTGGTAGGGGTTCGCGAATCATTTGATTCAGATTCGCCTGCCCGCCAAATACGAACACTCTGACCTGCCCACAAACACTTCCGCTAGTTAGTGTGTTTACATCAGGTCGAGAAGACACTGTGTTCTTCGCTGTGAAAGCAAGTTTGTTTTATTTTCATTGCCGAAAGATGATGATGTCAGACTTGGCCAGCTGACCAATCAGAGCAGAGTAGGCTTACGGAAGGGAGGGGTTTACAGACGAATCGTTTCGAAATCATTGAAAAATGATTCTAATATTAAATGTATATTCTGAGAAAATTACAATGTTTTCTGACCTTAGATGCATTGAAACCTGTTGTAGTCCAACACAATATTAGGACACTTTAAAATACCATATGACCTGCTCTTTAATGTTCTATGTTTAATATAAGTGAGTTTGTCGTACCGTTTTGTTGTCCATTCAAGCAATTGACGCCGAATTGCCACTAATTCACATGCTTATAATTCAAGAAGTATTGAAGATATTGCCATATGATTTCAGATTCTAGCTCTTAATAAACTTTTCTTAAGGAATCTTCAGTTTCAAGGCTCTGTATCATTCAGTCTCAGAGATATGGGGATCTCAATGCGGCTCCATATTCAGATTGTTGAATATTTCCCATTTTCATTGGTCGAAAACCACGTTGGTCACTTTGTATACGGCCGATACTTATTGTATTTAACGGGGGATGTCTGAAGAATAATTAATGTTGAAACTAGAAATGCATCTTTTCCCCTCTATCAAAACAACTGTATAGGACACACCTGTTTGAGTGTCATAAATAGTCTTTTTCCAAAATTAACTATAAACTATACATGTTTATCTTTAACAGAATGTGTTTTTATACCTGGAATATCTGCTTGAGGGAAAACAGCGCCCTCCTCAGGTCACGGCCATTTGAGTTATACAGCTTTTCTGGAGAGAGAGAGAGACATAGAGAGAGGTTATTTAGTGCTGTGTTTCAGGGTGTGTGGAGAACAAACCCCTCCGAATCAATCATCATTATCATCATCATCCTACAGCAGATCCTTCAGATACACGCCTGATCTTTATTCATAGTGCTGGGCGAGAGACATTGACACACACAGAGAGAGAGATAGAGAGAGAGAGAGTGACAGCACGTCAGTCAGATGATAATTAAAGTCACTCGCACTGAAAAATCAACTGTTTTCAGACCGCGGATCTCTTCAGGGCAGAAGAAAACACTGCAGCATTTACAGCAACATCCAAGAGGAGAAGCAGAGGACGAGAGAGAAGAAAAACCAGACACAAACTGGTTTAATCTGATCTAGACCAGGTTCAGTGTCCCGTTCACGCTCCACTAACATCAGATCAATCTCTGATGAACCGAGTTCATACTCGCTGCTGCTTTATGAAGATCCTCATCAATAACACACACGTGTTTGGATCAAATACAGTTCAGCACAAACACAGAGACACACTTACACTGTAATCACACGATATTATTATCTGTCTGCTATGGAAAAGGAGGCACAGACAGACTCGTACTGTAGTGCTGTTTCTCCATTTTAAAAATCCTTTTCATTAATTTAACTAATTCTGTAATAAAATAGAAATATTAAATGAAAAACAGATCCACTTCCTGCTGCCAGTCATTCAAATCTCAGCTTTCATCCAGATCATATTTTCATCTCTAATTAAAGCCCTGCTGTCTCTGACTGACCAGCGTTATTGCCTGCATGACAGCTGTACAGTGAATCTGTGTTTTCATGCCTCACATGTGTGTGTGCACATGTGTGTATGTGCATGCGTGTGTGTGTGTGTGTGTGTGTGCGTGTGTGTGTGTGTGTGTGTGTGTGTGTTTGTGTGTGTGTGTGTGTGTGTGTGTTTCTACTCATGTAATCCAGCAGGTTTTGCAGTTCTCTGGCCAGATCTTATTTAGATTATCTGTGACCCGACTCGTTAATCTCAGCAGCGTAATCTGGACACAAACACAGATTCCTTCATTCACACACACGCTGCAGTGCACGAGGGGTTCAGAGGGAGACAAAGGACAAACAAAGTCTTTGATTCAGTTTTTAACATTCACAGATTATGAGCTATGATAAAACGGCTGAAAAATCCCAGATTTACACTTTAAGGAGGAACCCAAGCACAACCCGAAAATCACAACCGCAACCGCCTAGCAACCGCATAGCAACATGTAAATTACACTCAGAACACCTTAGCAACTGGATAGCAACACCCTGGCAACCATCCACAACACAGGCAAACACAGCTCATATTTGCTTTAATAATCTATCTTGATTAACAAAATAAAGGAAATTATTAATATGACTAAATAATAAAATAAAAAATAGTAAAACCATAAAAATAGTAAAAATATAAATTATTATTGTTATTATTATTATTATTATTATCATTATCATTATTATTAATAATAATAAAGCACTCTCCATTGCAAATCACTCCCAAGGCACTGTACAATTAAGAAAAAGTATAAAAAGTACAGTATCTCTTATTACAGATTCAGATGCTCTGCAGTAACCTGAGGTGTATGGACTCTCTGACCTCTGACCTCTCCAGCAGCTGCTGTCCGTCATACGGATTCAGAAGGGTCACGACTAACGACCCGCGTCACACAGTCTCTGGATGGTTGCTAAGGTCTTCTTTTGCTAAGTGCCTGGAGAGAAAAGGGTCTCCATGTGAATACTTGTGAATGCTATAGTATATTATGAAAGTCTCCTGTTATTAGCATCTGATATCATCACTGTGTGACGGTGTTTCCATCATCCGTTACTGTCAGAGTGAGAGAGTCTGCAGCGGGTCACGTGTGGTTTGACATGTAGGACGCACTCTTATTTGGGTCGGTCTGAGCCGAACGGCTGCTGTGAACTCGCGTGGGCTCCGCTTACTCACGGTGCTCATGCTGAAACACTCCAGAACGAAAAAAGTATCTAAAATTACAGAATGAAGCCAGAGGAGCCGCTGACACGAGACCAAACACAGGCTAAAAATACAAGACAAACTTGAACAGTTTATGAGTGAGTACAGAGTCATGAGAGGCTGAGACTGTACATGTGTGTGTGTGTGTTTCAAAACAATCTGTGCAATCAGCTGAAAAAAAAAACAACAAACTGAAAAGCAATGCAGTAAAAACCACTGACAACTCCACATAGCAACACCCTAGCAACCACCTGTAACACTGTAGCAACAGTGAAAACTACTCTGAACCCCTTAACAACCACATGGCAACACTCTAGCAACTACCCACCATGCCCCAAACAAATTGCAATGCAGTAAAAACCACTCTGAAAAACCTAAACCTGCATAGCAAGACCCTAGCAACCAACCACAACAGTCTAACCAAACAGTAATGTGGTAAAAAACACTTTGAAATCTCTAACAACCAGATAGCAACCACCCACAAAACTCTAACCAAATAGCAATCCAGTCAAAACCACTCTGAAGCTCTTAAAAACCACAAAGCAACACCCTAGCAACCACCCACAAAACTCAAACCAAATAGTGAAGTAAAAACCACTGTGAATTGCTTAACAACCACACAGCAACGCCCTAGCAACTGAATAACAATGCAGTAAAAAAACATTCTAAAACCCTAAACAACCACACAGCAACACCCTAGAAACTGAATAACAATGCAGTAAAAAAAACATTCTAAAACCCTTAACAATCACTCAGCAACACCCTAGCAACCACCCACAAAACTCTAACCAAATAGCAATGTAATGAAAACCACTTTGAAAACCCTAACCCTGGATACCAATGACCTAGCAACCACCCACAACACTATAGCAGCTGATTAACAGTGCAGTAAAAACCACTCTGAAACCCCTTAACAAGCACATAGCAACACCCTAGCAACCACCCACAGCACCTTAACCAAACAGCAATGCATTAAAAACCACTCTCAAACCCCTTAACAACCACATAGCAACACCCTAGCAACCACCCACAACACCTTAACCAAACAGCAATGCATTAAAAACCATTCTGAAAACCCTTAACAGCCACATAGCAACACCCTAGCAACCACCCACAGCACCTTAACCAAACAGCAATGCATTAAAAACCATTCTGAAAACCCTTAACAGCCACATAGCAACACCCTAGCAACCACCCACAGCACCTTAACCAAACAGCAATGCATTAAAAACCATTCTGAAAACCCTTAACAGCCACATAGCAACACCCTAGCAACCACCCACAGCAAATAACAATGCAGTAAAAAAACATTCTAAAACCCTTAACAATCACACAGCAACACCCTAGCAACTGAATAACAATGCAGTAAAAACCCATTCTAAAACCCTTAACAACCACACAGCAACACCCTAGCAACTGAATAACAATGCAGTAAAAAACCATTCTAAAACCCTTAACAATCACACAGCAACACCCTAGCAACCACCCACAAAACTCTAACCAAATAGCAATGTAATGAAAACCACTTTGAAAACCCTAACCCTGGATACCAATGACCTAGCAACCACCCACAACACTATAGCAGCTGATTAACAGTGCAGTAAAAACCACTCTGAAACCCCTTAACAAGCACATAGCAACACCCTAGCAACCACCCACAGCACCTTAACCAAACAGCAATGCATTAAAAACCATTCTGAAAACCCTTAACAACCATATAGCTACACCCTAGCAACCACCCACAACACCTTAACCAAACAGCAATGCATTAAAAACCATTCTGAAAACCCTTAACAGCCACATAGCAACACCCTAGCAACCACCCACAGCACCTTAACCAAACAACAATGCATTAAAAACCACTCTGAAAACCCTTAACAGCCACATAGCAACACCCTAGCAACCACCCACAGCACCTTAACCAAACAATAAAATAAAAACTTTAATAATAATAATAAAATAAATAATTATTTCAATTTATAAAGTGCTTATCACTGCAAATCTGAAGAACTTTATAAATAATAATAAAATAAGAAGAAATTATTAAAATTTATAAAGTGCTTATTGCAAATCTTAAAGTGCTTTATAAGCTGAAATAATAAAATAATAGCTTTATTAAATTTTACTTTAATAATAATAATAATAATCAAATATTATTTCAATTTATAAAGTGCTTAACAATTTCGAAAACCCTTAACAACCACATAGCTTCACCCTAGCAACCACCCACGGCACCTTAACCAAACAACAATGCATTAAAAACCATTCTGAAAACCCTAACAACCGCATAGCAACACCCTAGCAACCACCCACAGCACCTTAACCAAACAACAATGCATTAAAAACCATTCTGAAAACCCTTAACAACCACATAGCTACACACCCTAGCAACCGAAAAAGCAAAGGCAATAAAAACCACTCTGAAACCTTTACTAATTGCATAGCAACTGAGTATTTACACCCTAGCAACCACCCACAAATCTGTGCGTGCAAAAACCACTCACACCATCTTTAAATGCAAAGAGAGATTGAGGGCGACCAGGAATAAACACGTTCCCTCTGACCTCCTTCAAAAGTTACAAATGTTTTTGTGCTTGATTTGGAAGTAACACTCCAAAAACTCTAGAGAATGATGTGGAAACGAGCTCCGGCGCATGAAGAACACAGATCAAGCCTCTCGACGGGTGAAAAGCGGCTCGTACATTCATGAACTCAAAGAGCCAGAACCAAAACAGGGAAATAATAAGTCGAGTGCAGAAAAAGCCAAAATAAGCTGCTGAATGTGATCCAGCACACGCGGCGTCTGACGGCTGGAGGTCTGTGGTGGAGTTAAATGTGTCTGGGAATGAGATGTTACATGCGTTTCCGCAGTTCTGTCCAAAGCCAGCTTTTAGAAAAACAAGCATAAATCCACATTAAAAGAGCTGATGTGGGTCCAAACAAACACAAACCCGACAACTTCATGGATCAAACTCTGGACTGCAGAAATCAATCACCACTAAAAGTAA